TTGAATATGGAATCCTAGGATTTTTTACATTTCTTATCACTGTACCCTTGTCTCTGCAACAATGTTGGATATAAATATTCACAAATGCAAATGTATTTAATCCCTTAAAAACTGTAATAAATTAAGCCTTAATAAATTAAGCCTCAATAAATAAAGCCTAATAAATAAATTTGTGCAGATAACTTTACTCCCCCATCGCCAAAGCTATCAATATAATAGTTCAATTCAATAACCACAATGAAATAAATCAACTGCAACCGCATAAATCATGATGCCAACTTTAATGACAATCGTATTTAGTTTACAAGCCGCAAAAAGTTCAACCGCTTTTCCTTGTCTACCCGAGAAAATGGGAAAATGTTCGACCTCAAAATATGTTGTTCACGTTATCTCTTTGCGCAATTTTTGCATGCTGCGATGGCTGCAAAACGAATTGATTTTCAATTTTTATGCTTGCCTAAACGGAAAATTTGTGCAGAGCCCAAAAAGAATCAAACGTTTTTCTTTTTAGGGGTGTTGGGAAATTGCAATGCATTTATTATGTATGAGAAAATCAGGAAAGTAACTCATGTCGCAAGGAGAGCCTACGATATGGGCTCCATTCAACCTTCAAACTTTGGGTGCCTGTGCCCCAGAAAATGTTCATTTTGTCCCATAAGTTATATGCAAATATCTACCAGCATTTACATATATATTCGTTTATGAATTTGTTTTCGGGTGAAAAGCTTAGGGAAATCGCCCCGGGGACCCTCCAAATTTTATTTACTCTCCAGTGAAAAGAAAGGAATCTTTAAAAAAAATTGTCCCACTTAGGGTACAATTTAATTTTAAATTGAGGTACCTTAGGTTGCTTTTGGTATTTGTTATGCTAATTTATATGTATTTGGGCGAATATTTGCTAAAATGACAGCCTGATTATGCACCGCCAGTCCAAAAACTCTGACAGCTTTCAACACTTGTAAATTAGAGCGATACGTATTTTATTTTGTTTGCATGCATGTGAATTACCAAATTGTGGCTGGAAATGGTAAATTGTTTTATCAAGGACAGCACACTTGGTTTTTGTATAACCAAATGCAATTTAAGTTATTAAAATTAGAGATAGTTGAAACTTGTATACCAAATATTTGTTTTCTTATATATGTGCACCATTGTAAATTCAATTTAAGGCTTTAAAATGTTTGTAAATTTCAAATGAAGCTTAAAAGGTTCACCTTGTTGTATTTTATCTTGATTTCTTGATTTCTTTTTACCTCGCTTAGAATGTGTGTATAGAGAATGACCCTTTATGCTTTTTTCCAGCAACTTGTTACTAAATTTTCAATGAGCCAGGCTTACATCGAATGCCATTCCCATTAAAGCTTAATAACAAAAGGAAAAATTGAAAATTCTCGCAATCCCTTTACGCACTTGGAAAGCTCTTCATAATTCACGTAAAGGGGTTGGCAAAAAAGCAAAAGCCGCCCTTTTAAAGCCTTTTCGCATTTCTGAGGACACCAGAAAGTAATCACTTCCGCATCCCTGGGAATTTTTGTGGCAAGTCCTAAGTATCTCGTGGGTTGACCTTCGTCTCATGCTGATTTTACGCTGGTACTGAGAGGGTTCCTCGAAAAATATCGCTAATTTTGTCGATATTATGTTTTTGATAAATGACCTGAGCGGCGCTCCTTCACAATTTGTTCACGGCTAAAGTTGTTCATCAGAGAAAAGAAAGATGGATATCTCGAGACTAATCACTTAGCGCTGGATTTCACGGAATCCTGCCGTCTGACACATTAATCAGCTTTTGGCAGATCAATCAAAGTTGCAGTTTCGGATAGCAAAAGAAAATACAACAGCTTGAAGTTCAGTCTTACATTTGACTTTACGGACCCTATAAAAAGAAAACTGGTAAGGGTCTTTGGTAATAATATATGAGAAAATAAAACATATTTCTAATTCAACCCAAAACTATAATACTATTATTGTATTATTATAAAAATCCTTTAATGGATTATTTTGTTAATTAATTCATTTTGAAAAAGTGGTAAACCAAGGTCTATAGTTTTATTTCACCTTTTCTTACTTTTTCAGGATAGCAGTGAAACTTACTAGGGAATTTTTTCTAACTCGAACTTTTTCTTTTAGTTGTGACTTACGCCATTGTCTGTTTTTCTCAGCTGTGGATTCTCAGGTGTTGAGGGTTAATGACAAAGTTGTTTTTCGCATTTCACTTATTTTGTAAAGCTTCCCTCTCAGCAGGTTCTTATCTCTTGCTGGCCAAGTTTTCCAGTTATACCCCTAACTTGAACTAAGCTCCTTGTGGAGATAGTTATTTGTCAGCCAAGCAGAAGTTGCACTTACAACTGTGGCAACAGGGCGTATGAATGATGCTTCTAAGGATAATGAAAAGCGGGAATGTAGTTAGTAACTTTGTTTTCTTTGTTTGTCTTTACTGCAATTTTCAGCACAATTTGAAATGGAAATAAAGACATTTTGTGGAAACCATTTATCACCATAGTGATTACTTATTTAACTTTTATTTAACCTTGAACAAAGCTGGTGAACCCTAAAATATTTCCCATTCCCTCTATAATGTTCACAGATAATTAAAGTTGCCCAATCATTGTCTGGCCAAGGGAGAAAATCATAATAAAACAGTTCAAGCACCTTTCATCAGCTTGGCTGGTTGGCAGCAGGGGGTTAAGGAGGCCAAGAGGGTTGGGATTATCTGGCCAATGCCTTGGGGTTAGTTACCATTAAGCACAATCAACCATCAAGCCCGCGGGCTGCCTCCAATTGAGACATTTTCACTTTCATTCATCTCTAAAGGAGCCTGACTTTTGGTTGGACAAATTAAATTTCTGTGTTTGATGTAATTAATTTGCCCGACCCAAGCGGCAGTCAAGCAAAGAAAATTCCACGCTTGACTTGCTTTCACCTTAAATTTGGCATATTAAGCAAAAGATGTAGCAAAAGATTCCCCAATCAAACCCTTTTTTTTCTGTGAAGAGCCCACGAAAGACAATGGGAGGTGCAGTCCCAAAAGTAGGCAATGCTTTTTCACTTCCGCTTTCTGTGTGTATTTGTGACGGGCATGTCAAGTGGCCGACACATACATGGGGCGAAAGAAAAACCCTGACCAATTAGCACAGGAACTGCCAGTTATGGCCAACTCTCAGGCACGTGCATTTGATGGCCAACGATAACCGGCGAAAAACTTTCGCAAAGACATAAATCTTCGGTTCGGGGCCGAAAACATGGAGGAGAAAAAAGCGAGGCCGTCAGCAACAGGCGTTGCACGAACCGCAGATGACAGCCAGTCAGTGGGAGATTCAAACATTTTGACAGATAACAGCAGCCGCAATTTCACCCGACTCAACTTTGGGGCTTCGCTTTTCCCGGTACTGCAATTTAAACTCGGTCACACTTTTCCGCGAATCGGAAACTGAACTGACAACTTAGTTATGTCAAAGTGGGGATGGCTTGCGAAAGATACTCAGTGGTTTTGGGACCTCTTCATTAAGATACATTTGAAGAGGAATATTTTAATTTGGGGTTGTGATTAAGCTTTAAAATTTAATATGGAACCAAAGTTTATTTAATATTGGTTTAAAATGGTCCCAAGGTTTGGTCAATAAATCTTATTAAGATAAATATTTTTATAAATGTATCTTCAAAGCTTTCTATAAAAGTTTGTTAAAGTTGGTTCAAAAATGATCCCATATTTTTGGTGAGTACATTTTTATAGGAAAGATATGATTTAGTAAAAATGTATACACCTTTAAAGCTTTCTATAAGGTGTGTAATTTCTTTGCCAATCATGAAATGCCTTTTATGTTATATCAGAAACAATTCTGGCACCCTAAGTAATCTTTATGGTGTTCCATCTCAACAGAGGTTAATTTTCTGGCCGCCTGTTGGCTCTATAAGTCAATTAAACTTGACAGGTTGAAGGATAGGTCTAAATGTGAATCATGGTCTAGTTTCACACAACTCCCTTATACATCTCCATTCATACCACTCCACCAAATAAATGCCCAACTCATTGAGGAATACGAGCAATAGCATTGGGGAAATCATTCATCCCATTCCACTTCCACAAAGTATTTACCATGACGAAGTGAAAAAGGGGAGCTGCAAAAATGATGCGTGGTTTTTTGGGTCCTGATTAAACACACGTATACGTAATGCATATCTGTCAGGAAAATTAATAAATATTTTAATTAAAAGGGCTGGGGTCACACGAAAATTGCAAAGTCTGCACGTGACTGGGCACAAACATTTTCCAATTTCCCCACGAGTGTGTACACTCGAGGGAGCGCAGTTAAAAAGCAATTGAAATGCTATTGGAACACGGCAGTTGAGATCTCCGTGGAGTTGGCTCTGACATTGCATTGACCTTTGGCAAATAGAAAAATTCGTTAGAATCAATAATTAAGTGGAATGAAGAAAGAATTACATCTATATGTACGCGGGAAAAAGAAGTCACAAATGACCAGTAACAATAAGGGAGCAGGGAATATTAGGGCGATTGAAGAGCAAACACAATGAAGCGTGTTTCATGGGGCAAGAACTTGACAGAAGGCCCCATCCCATTCCCTTAGGACTTTCCCCAGCTCTCTGCAAACTTGGCCAAAATGGCATGGCATAGACAAATGGCAGGCGGAGAATATGAGCGAACAAGAAGTGCGAAACAATTGCGTGCTAAACGCCAAAAACGTCAAAGTAACACGAAAAAAATGGAGCAATGGGGCAGTAAATGGATAGATAAATGGAACAGGCCGACGGACAAAGGTGGAAAGCCCCGAAAAGAGGGCTAAAATGCGTCAAGGTGGCCCCATTTCGAAGATCTTATAGTTATTATAGTAAAACCATTAAATTTAATCTTTTAAAAAGCTTTTAACTCACAACTTCTTTTAAGAGCTATTTAGAAAATGGTGTTTCCAAGACTTTACCTTTAAAATATAACTTCGATTAGGTTTTAGAAGTTTTTTTTATTATTATTCATAATTTTGTTGTTTTTTTTTAGTTTTATTACAAATTGAAAATGTCCAGTATATGTATGGATAGGCCGAATGTTGGATGTGTTGTGGCAGATATACATATCTCTATACAGTTTTCTAAATGTTATCGAGCTCCGCAACAGAGACGATTTTTTTTACAAATACAAGTAGTTGTATAAATATATTTTATATATAGCATCTAAGATATACAAAAAAGGAACAATTTATGAAACCCATTTTGATTGTTTGATGTTGATGCTTCAAATGGGAACTCATAAGTTGATTTTATTCTTTTATTATAATAAATGTAAATCGATTTTTTTCATATTCTTGCACTTAACATTTAAGACAGGTTCTTAAGAAATCAGAAAATAAAAATAAAGAGAGAGTTTGAGTTTTATTCGGTTGGTTTTTTTTTCTACGGGAAGTACGCACTGGCAAATGATTATAGAACCCCAACGGAAATGGTGTTGTTTTTCCGAGAGGAGTTCTAGCAGTTTTGAAAAAATTCAAACGTTGTTGACGGATATTAAGACTTCGTGAAAAGGTCTAACACCTTTTATGCTACTGATCTACTCCAAAAGCTAGTTGTCGTTGTTTTGGGGCCCCTTGTGATGCATTCGTTGTTGTTCTTCAGGATGTTCTTGTTCTGTTGTTGTGTAGTTCGTTATTTCGTTCGTTTAATAAATTGAGCGGTGAGCTAAGGAGGGAAAAAGTGGACCATTATCAACAAAAACATTGCATAAGTATGAAGTAAACATTTAATTATAATCAAAAGTACTTGGCGTGCAGAAGTTTTTCCAATGTTTGCTACATAGGTTATACACAATTTGTGTAGAAATGAGGGAGTTCTTTAGTTTAAGAAAGTTAAATAAATAGTTAAAATTTGGCGGGTATAGTATAGATAATTTTCTGACGTGAAATATTTTGTTATAGAAAATAGACTTATAGGAAATTACTTTACCAACAAGATAGTAAAACATTGAAATTATTTAAACAATTTTTTCTTACAGTAAAATCAGTCACAAGAAATTTAAATATTTTAAAAAGCAAATATATTCAAACTATAGAACTCAGTCATTTCTGTCTTATACGTAAATTTTATGTTATAACTACATGTTGGGGAAAACTACGTATACGGGGTACTACTGGGCATATTTGTCAAAAGGATTTAATGTGAACACTACAAGTCATTTGTGTAGTTTCTACAATGAACAAATTTATCGTTTTACATGCTTTTTCTTTTTCTTACCAATTTGTTTTTTTTACATTTCGTTACATGTAATTTATGTAAAATTAAGTACAAAAAAATTACAGAATTGCTATATGATTGATATAGCGTCGCTTTGTTATTAGAGCTAAACGATTGTTTGTGATATTGAATCTATATATTTTGTTTAGAATAAATCCTCTTCCTCAGCTGTTTATGATAATTAAATGTAAATAAAATAGAAACAATAAGGTTAAATTTAAATAAAATTGGAAAATGTATTGGGTAAAATATAATTTTGCAAAAACATGAAAGAAAGTCTAGTGCTAGCAGTGCTACCAATCTAAAAATTTTATATTAAGTTTTAAAAATAATTAATTTAATTCCAATAATGATAAACCCTTTAAATATAAGGGCTATAAAATTACACTCCCAAATATTCAAATGTATTTAAAACACGACCTTAAAGTTTTCTAATAATTTTCATAAAAACATTAGTTTCTAATCTGATGCAAGTTTTTTCTCTCATGCTTTTATGGAATACTTCTAGGGGCTCTCTAGGGTGGGGTGTTCCAATTCGAAAGTATTTACAAACTGTGTATCTATATACAGGGCAGATCTTACCAATGGCCAATACGAATTTAAAAGTTTTCCCAACGAATTCCCATATTTTCAACCCAGAATTGGTAAGACCAGAGGTATCTTTATATAAGGTACTAAATAATACTTACGGGTCAAGGGTCTGGCTGGGTGCTTGGACCACAAGTAGCGGTTCTTCACCGGCGACAAGTACGAATCGCGGGCCACGGGGCTCGAGGCACGGGGCACCGAGGTGGCGCGGAAGGGCACAAGGTCATCCACGTCCCACCAGAAGGGATCGCGCACGATCGAGGAGATCGGCAAGTTGGGGCTGGGGCTCAGCAGATCCCTGAACCGGTTGCGGGGATGGAAGATCGGGAGTCCTGTTTTGTTGGCATTTTCAGTAGCATAGTCATCACAGATGGCATGGTTGTTGGATGATTTCGTTTCGGTGTTGTTTTGTTGTGCGTTTTGTTGAGTATACAATCAGATGTTTGTTTGGGTTTCATTTGATTTTGTTCGTATTGTTGTAGCAATGTATACAAGAAGAGCAGAAAGAAAAATATTTTTTGTTTTTGCTATGCTTTTTAAACTAAAATAAAAGTAAATCAAATAAAAAAAAAACAACGCTTTAACAATCAACAATAATTTGATATTTTCCATGCGTATGTTGGGGTTTCGTTGTGGAAAAAATACCAAAAGGATAATGACGGGGAGGGAATGCATAAACTAGATTGATAGAAAAAAGATGACACGTGGAAAGATGGACAGGCGCTACAGTGGGCACATCGATAAGCGAACCAGTGGGCTTGTGAAGGTGGGGTTCTGGTTTGGGTATTTTTTTATAACGAATGCAAACCGATTCAATGAAGCGTTAAGTGGGTTTTTAAAATCTTGCAAAATTTGTTGATTGGATTTTAGGGATAATTTTAAAAAGATCATTATATTACATTTACATTTTATCACTATTTATGTCTAAGGGGGACTTAAAGTTGTAATTTATGTATTATTAAAAAAAAAAAAACAAATAAAAAAGTATTTTCAACAAGAAAAAATAAAATAAACTATTATTTAAAAACTGAACTAATAATATTGACTGTTTTCAATTTATTTCTTTAATTTTGAAAATGTAAAAACCATTTAATCGATTTGCATTCGAGGACTAAAGCGCGGCGCTTACACTTCGGGCAACACTGTACTAATTTTGCTGATGCTGCTGGCAAACTGAAACTCAAAACACGACAAATACTCGTGCTGGCGAAGCCAAAGAGTGGAAATAATTTTGACAAATTATATGGCCACACGATGGGTGTGGCTGGGGTGTAAGAGTTACAAGGCTCGAACGCATCACGAAAAATATGGCAGCGATTTTTCAACGCGTTCGCCGCCCCTTATCATCATCACCATCAACTCCAACCTCGTTTGTCTCGCGGGGCATTAAAAGCCGACATAAGTCACATAAAATTCAACAATATAACACGAAAATTGCGTCTCTTCTTGTAACAGGACAAATTCGGAATATCTTTTTTTTTTTAGGTAGGGAAAGAGTAGGAGAAATTTTGATTTTTACCCTCAGCATCGTAGGCGACTTCGGTGGGGCGTGGTCCCCAGCGACCGGCTTTGACGGGAGTGGGACTTGGCGAGCCGGCGCGCTCGAAAATACCGAGTGACCGACTGGGCGCATCAGTTGGCGCCGAATCAGCCTCGGCGATCGCGGGCAACTTACGTTCAAAGAGTTCGTCCAGCGGCTCCAGGGAGCTGGCCCGGAAGCTGGGCCGCGTGAACGGGGCCAGGCTGGTGGCGCGGTCGAAGACCGAGGGTCCTCCGCGGGGCACGCTGCCCTCGCGGTTCCAGTAGGCCGGCGGTGGCACGTACGGCTCGCTGCCGGCGCGGGTGCTCCTGGCAGGGCGGAACGGCGAGGCCGAGCGGCGAGCTGAAACCAGAACGGGGGTCAGGTGAGTAACCAAGTCAAGAAGTACCCATAGGAAACCGGAAAAAGCCCTGACACGTGTTGAACTATCCTAACCCAAAAAATATTAATAAATAATATATGGCAAAAGAACTAGCTTATAAATGTATGGTATTACAAATATATACTAGAACTTTCAGTTTAAAAATAACTATCAGACTATCATATTAGAAAATAATATAGGTAAAGAAGAGCACCCATAAGAAATCTGCAAAGATACTGCTACAAATTTATCTGCCCCAAATTGAAATGTATAAATAGCTTATATATTGTAACTAAACAAAATTATTAATGTATTGAATAAAAAAACCTTGAGCTTTCATATTAAAAATAATTAAAAAATGGAACCATTAACTGAAACTTCGAAAAAGATATATAGATATATATTTAAAATGGTCATAATCTCAGTTAATAAATAACTGGATTAATTTAAAAAGTAATGGAAATATTTATAAAACAAGGTTTAGAACAATTTCTTTAATTAAATATATATTAAGTCATATTTTGGATGGCATAGGTTTTTTGAATAAGTCCTGACAGCTAATCTAAAGACAAACATCATGATCATGTATAAAAAAACCTACTTTAATCAGTTAACGGAGCGGAATTTGATAAAACTATACATAAATACTTGTTATATTCAATATTTTCTTTTATGATAAGATTTTTTAAGCATTTGTACCTAGGGGTCATTGAATTTCAAAATGCAAAAGTGATATCCTAATTTAAAATGTTTTGGAAAATGCACTTAAAATCTTTTTTTACAAATATATATAAATGATATAAAAAAGTTTTAGAAAATGATGCCTAGATACCTTATAAACCCCTAAATTCTTCCCCTAAACCTTGTACTTACCAGAAGAAAAAGCCTCACCAACCAACGATGTTCAAAAATGCTTACAATGGAAAAAAAACAAACAACATTGGAAACAAGATACATAGTACAAATTACACAAAACTGTGGGCACGATTACAATGGAAAAAGTTTTGATTTGTAATTCCACAAGGGAATTTTATAACTTGTCTGCCAGAGAACATGAAACATACATTTTCATCAGAGAATTCGTTAAATATTTCATTTGAGTTTGCATAAATTTTTAGTTTTAAATAATACGTTTTTGAGTATTGGCAGTTTATTTACAGGCACCGCACAGTGTAATGTGAATTTCTATGCTTTGATTTTAGTAGTGAAACGAGGGACTGGACGAAATACAACAGCGAACTGGACAAGGTAAAAACATTGACATATTAATATCGAAATGCGAATGAATTGTTAGGAAAGTAACGACCAGAAAGAGACAATTTTCCGTAGCGATAAGAAGTTCCAAAACACAAGTCTTGATTGGTATTAAATATGTTTTTTTTATTATTAATAAAGGTTGGTTCTTTAAAGTAATCAAAGGGCGGAAATAGTGTTCTTGGTTCGGGTAAAGTCGCCGATGGGGCTACAGTGGGCTCGAATAGTTCATTTAGCAGCAAAAAGTATGCTCTTTGGTACAGCAGCTGTTAGAAGAAAGGCTTAAGATTATCGGGGTTTTGGATGGATGGTTGGTTTTTAGGGTCGAATGAATGGATGGGTTCGTTAAATATGTTTTTATTAAATATATTTAATGGCTAAAATTAAAATTAGATTTTTTTATAAATGTTTTGTTGTTGGTTTTATTACTTTTGTTGTTGTTGTTGATTTTGTATAAGTTAATAATTAAAATAAAGCATTTGTATATTTATATATATATATACAATGAAACATTTAACGAAATTTTCACTCGACTATTGCTGGGTTTCGGGGATTTCTTTTTACAGACAGAAATTGATTACAATTAATCTTCGTATATCATTTCGCATTGTTTAAGTTTAACAGATTTTGCGTAAATTTACAAGAGTCTTACAACGAGCTAAGAAAACAAAAGTATCGTTTTTCATGTACGCTCAGGCTTCAAACCCTAATAGCTGCAAAATAGAGTTTAAACAAAAGAGATTTTAGACAAAAATCGATTCGTAACTTTGATTGAGAAAAGTCTGCAAAAGTTTTCATTTTGATGTTGGCTGAATTTGAAAAAAATTTCGTTGAGTTCGTTTAGATGTTGGGTTTCAGATTTCATTGCTATTTTTTTTTCGTGCTTACATTTTGTATTTAAAAGTAAATTTTAAATTGTTCGTTGTTGATGTTGTTGTTGTGTGGTTGTTGTTTACTTTCCCGCTGATGTTGGTGTGAGAATTTTGTTTCTGGCATTGGATTTAGAAAATGTCTTTGATATCCTTACCCTTGTTGAGCTCAGCCAGCAGCTTGTCCTCTGGCTCGTACTCCAGGGGCACCAGCGAGTTGGGCGTGAGTGGCTTGTCCCTCAAGTAGAGACCGTAGCGAGATGGGTACCTAGATGGTAAATGTACCCAAAATGATATATTATGATGTATTATCTTAGTAATGACTAGGGAAACGCACCTGCGCTCGATCTCCTGCATGCGCTTCAGATGATCATTCCAGGCCTTCTCTGCGTCGTAGTTAGCTGGAACTGTCCACAACAAAAAAAGGAATATTTAAAAAAAATTCATAAATATTCCCTACTCTTTCGTTAGGCATTCAAAATTAAGCAAATAAAAAACAAACTAACATATAGTTGCTTACAGAAAGTGGTTTGTTTTAGTCTTGGGCTCACGCGGCGTATGCGCAATATTCGATACGTACGCAATCCCAGAAAGCAAAAGTATCATAGCAAAAGCAGCAAAAAGAAGAAAGGGTTTTGGAAAATCAGTAAAGCGTATTAAAAAGCAATTTATTAAAAATGAACTATGCCCAAATGCTAGATGAAGTGCAAACCATGGTTAGGTGTTAAATCGATGGGTGTTCATAGCAAACCCTTTGATGGCCCTTTGATTTGATGGATGGTCTGATGAATGGAGGCGACACCACACATAGAGATAGAACAACAGCAGGTTGTTTAAAGATTTTATTTCACACACAAAAACACATACATATATGTGTATATACAGCTGTATATACGGGCTACCAAATAAATCATTTTCTAATTTTCTAATTTCGATATTTAAACTAAAAGCTACACACAAAATCCTTTTTTACTAAATTTAAGTTGTCTTTTGCCTAGAGAGAACAACAAATACATATATATATATATAATATATATAGAGTGCGCATAAAATATCAAAAATATATATATCGCTCGGATACATATGTGTATTTATTTTGACGACACACATTTATGTATATTCTGAAACATTTATGAAAGAGAGAGAAAGAAAAAAAACAATTGGTTAGTCCAAAAAAAAGCGAAAAGAAAACTATAATTTAGGCAAACGGGGTACCAGGTTGACGGTGGAAAAGGGGATGGGATGGGGTTGTGTTTTGCCAGTGTGTGAGTGTGTGGAAATTCGGAAAATCGGAAAAAACAGAACTTTGGTTTCCGCGCATCGAGGGCCGCCACAGTCATTTGATCCCAGAGCACGCACCAAAAAAAAAAAAATTGAGTCAAAAATTCCTCATATACATATACCTGACTCGATATATAGCCCACAAAGATGTGCTTTTGTTTGTGTGTAGCCTATATTGTCTAGATTTTTTGTTCATTTTTGAGGTCTTTTGCCAATTCAACGCGAACGAGTCGAAGCGAAGCGAAGCTTTCATTGACGTAATAGTATTTTGGCTTTTGCGCTGGCAATTTTATTTTTAAATTTATGAAATCATAGCGCTCGCACAAAGACCATCATGCAGGTCGTAAATGAAAAATCATAAAAATATGGCGGATCTGAGAAATTCAAGGTGTTGTCAAAAGCTTTTTGTGGCAAAGGCAACGGCGAGAATGCAGTTGTGAGATGATTGAAATGACTCGACTGATTGATTGATTGATGGCGCGTCGAAGCGAGACAGAAAAGCTGAAAGAACTTGTTACGTTCGGTCTTAACCGAAGCTTATATAACCTTGCAAATCTTGATCACGTTACTATCTTTATTTTAAAATGTATTATTCTTTAAAAATAGATTTTAAATATTTTTGAAATGTTAAATATACATATTACAAGGTTTGATCCTGATTTCTAAATTTTATATCCGTTTGTTAAAAAAAAAAAAAACAATCCTAGAATTTTTTTTGTATTTTAAAGAGGAATATCAACAATGTCTAGTACCGTCTAAATCAGATATATTGTTCTCAATTTTTATTCTCCAAACACTTTTTAGAAGTCCTATAACTGATAATATCAAAATTGACGATCAATATTTGCAAGGCTCGGAAATCGAATGTATTAAGATAAATATTCTTGGCTGTGTAAAGAAGTTAGGCGGGGATTGGCTGTAAACGATGATATGAGCCAACTTACTTGTTCGGCTGTAGTGATGATCGTAGATGGCACGGGGCGAGTAGCCGTAGGTGTCGCGGCTCACTGGCAGATATCTGTAGCCAGAGGACTGGACGCGCTCGTTGGCGGTGGCGGGCTCGTCGTAGATGCTCCTGTAGAGGGTGAGTCCAGGTAGGAGCTGTAGGGACGAGAGGCACGGGGCGCCTCGTGGGCACGGATATCCTCGGAGCCTAAAAATAGTTGTTTGGATAACGCCGCGTTAGTTCATTGCTTTTCAAATATTTCAGCTATTTTCACTATTTGGCTCAATGCCAGCGGTGCAAAAAAAAAAAGATAAAGTTGATTTCTATTTGGTGGCTATCATAGATGTGCCCCCCTTTGTATGGGTATCCTATATTCTTTCTTTGTTTAAGGCCTGAGCACATATTTTACATTTTTCTCTCTACATATTCTCGGGATGCCGAAAAAGCTTTCCCAACAGAGCGAATCTAAGTATATAGCTCGGCTGATATGACACCTGCCAAAATAAATAGACTATACATATAGGCTAAGATATTTTTGTTACTCATTGCCCAAAAGTTTAATAATATAACATTTGAGTGTCCCTAAATCAGATCGAATTTGGAATACTTGAATTATATTTTATAACTATAATTTGAATTTAAGTTCCTAAAGATTAATAGTAATTCTTCTTTAGGAATAGGAATTAAAATCTTTTCTTTAGAAAGGTCTTAATGCTTGAAGCATCTATAAAAGTAAATAGACACCCATTTAATATATTTAAGGACCTTCAGTGTTTTTAATAACACTTTTACTCACCCTTCAGGGACCTGATGTAGGACTGCCAGAACTTAGCCTTCTTGCTGGGGCTCTCATTGCGCCCAATCATTTCCAAATGGTTTTTGAACATTTTGATCGATTTGTTTTGTTCTGTTCACGAAAAAATCGTTGAACTCGTTCGCTGCAATAAAGTTGGGAAGAAAGATGTCTTAGCAATTTTCCAAAAGTAATCCAATTTCTTTTTCGGGTTTTCTTTCAGTTTATTCTATTTCCCGGGAAATGCCAGGCAACACACACGAATTTGAATCGTTTTCTCTCGATTGATGGATGTTTTCTCAGTTTAGTTTTTTGCTTTCGCGTTGAAAGTCTCTCGGTTCGAAAATAAACAGGCTGTGTGCCACTTTAGAGCAGTGCAAAGTTTATAAAATATATACATATATCAATATAATACCACGATCAGACAAGCGGCACCTACGCAAGATCAATCTCACTAAAAATAAATATATTTCTGTTCGGTTTTTCAGTTTTTTCGTGTGTTGCTTCTTCTGGTTTGCTCGAATATAAAAATATTTTTATGTTTTATAGGAAATTTCACACTTTTGTGTATGAGAACCAGAAAAATCGTGTATTCTAGATGTCAATGTGTGCGTGTAAGTGTGCGAGTGGTGTAAATGTATCTGTGTATAAGCTGCAGCTACATTTGCTTTTATTTTTAAATGTCCTTGAGTTGAATTCATTCTGTTATTCTGGCTTTCATCGGAATTTACTTCAGTATCGAAGAAATGAGCAAAGATTTGAAACTATTTAGTTAAGAGTCTAAAAAGTATTAACTATTTTAAATTAATTTTTTTTTCATTTAACTAAATTAAATTAAATTGTGTTTTAATTTAATTTAATATTTTTGTTAACCATTTCACTGCACAAACTCTTGAAGGGCTCCACACTTTGGTATCAAATGTCATTGTGAACGATCTCGCTTATATAATCAATGTCTTTTCTCTATGGAATATCGTTTCATTCATAATTCTCGATCATATTTCCATAATTTGTCACCAGTTAAATGTTTTTCTTTCTTCACATTTCTTATGATAATTCACTTTATTCAATTTTATTTTATTGTCGTTTATTTCGTTTATAATTATTTAATTTACTATTCAGTTGTGTTGTTTAATATGTTTCAGGTTCGCTTACAATTTAAATTTACTCCTAAAAAATAGCGATCTATCCTCAACGAAGAATTTTTTCAAACTGCAAACCCCAAGAAAATTCGCCTCACCAATTTTACTCGTTTCAGAATTTTGCCATTCCGTTTCGGCCCCAAAAAGCACGGCGCATTCCTTTACGGCGTAGGTTGCTCTATCCGTGAGTGATTCTCGGCGTATCTGTGTGCCAAAGCTCCGGAGATCGGTTATGGGAAAGCTTTCGTGTATATCTTATAGATCGTGTGGGGCACCCACTCATTGTTTGCAACGATTCCATACCGAAATCGCTATGACGCCGACGATGATCATAAAAAGAAAGCCCACCTACATGATCCTATATTTCTTTCAGAAAATCCCGAATCTTGTTTGAAATATTCAGTTGATTGTTTTTGGTTTCTCGTATTGTTTTTTAACATTTACATTATTCTATTGGTCACAGGAAATGCGTCAATTGTGGCATTGAATTGATCAATGAACTCTGCACTCGGTATAAGTCATAGCACTGACTATATTATTTTATTTAATTAATTTCTAAAGTATGGCAAAAGCCTAAGTAATTTTCCTTTTGTTGCTTATAAATTCTGTTTATTTGTTTACGTTTTCTTTTGGTTTTGGCATTAGGTAAAATATAGTTTCCTGATAATTGAAAAAATTTCCAGCTACATGCCCACACAAACAAATAAACAAATCTAGCCAAGCTGAATAAAAGTCGAAAGCGTAGATACTTTAACTAACAGTTTTATCGTTTTGAGATTTTTTCTAGGAGTTCAAAGTATTTATTTTAATAATATATACTTTTTTAACACAATTTTTACATAGAAATGTGATTATTTCTTAACATAACATTACCTAGTTATCCTAAATAGCTGTATACTTTTTATAAGGAAGGGTATATGTTTGTTGCCCACGTGCGACCTAATGTTTAGTAATCTAAACAACATTTTTCCAGGGAAATTCCTATGAAAATGGATAAACAAAGATGGGTAAAGCTTCCCACATCATATACTATTACATCGGACAGGGTTGAAGGGCGGATCAGAGAGTACATATCTTTCTATTTATAGTGAACATGGAGATCATTTGACCTTTCAAACGATTTACAGAACTTCCCTGAATGTGTTTTTCTCTCCCATTAACTCAAGGCCAAGTGCAATTGCATTGAAATGTTCTTTTGACTTTGTTTGTTTACCTTATGTAAGATTAATTGGTTAATTTCACCCCTAAACAAGCTTGCAGCGTCATTTAAACTTGAACTTGACTTTGAATACCCGAATGCGGATTGATGAACCAACAAAAAAAACCTACAAAAAGTGTACAAAAAACTCACGGGGAATTGGGAAATACCTGGCAAAGTGATTTCGGTGATGTGATTCAACTTTTACTTTCTGCACACTTTTTTGGCGTCTCTTTAGGATGAATTGAGCAACTTTTTATTTTACTTTCGTTTTTGTCGAGTTGTTCAATTTTATTTTAGTTTATTGGCAGCTCAATGGGGATTTTTTCAAATTTCTTTGATGTTGCGCTGAAGGACATACGAAAATTGGCTATCAAATATATACCCAAAAATGGAACCTTTAGTTTAATTTCAAAAGAAAATTCAGATATTTTCAATCAGCTAGACATATTCGTCTTTCGAGGAAAGACAAATCTTAAATAAATCCGTTTTATGGCCTCTTGAGAAATGAGGTCAGAATGAGAACTCATTATTTAGTGACACGAATGCAAACAATGTCGAATAATTTGCTCGGCACACATTCCCCATATTTTATAGCGTTCTTTAGAACCAAATTAAACTGCATTTTGTTTGGGTTGAGGGAAGCAGACTTGTAGCTGTCAGAAAGTCAAACACTGAGTGAATGCAATTCCAACAAATAATTTATACATTTTATTACTCGTGCACTTGGTCTGCAATAAATTGCTTTCCCAATGTGAAGGTCGATTATAGTTTTCGCAAATGAAATGAAACGCAACTAAATGAAAAACAAATTGCGAAGATCCTACAATGTCAACACTGCGTATGAGCAATTTGTTTTGGCTCACCAGCTTTGAAAAGCTACCAAAAAAATTAATATAAATATAATTTTGAGTCATAGCAAATTAGCAAAAACGAATACATTTGAGCCTTTGTTTTATGCCAATCACATTTTATTTTGTGACTGTTTTAAATGCTCTTAATGCTTCATTAAAAAGGTAATAAATTAAAATAAATTATAGAAATTCAAAAAATTAAAAAAACAATCTAATTTAATACTTTCCCAAAGCCTTTTAATATATATATATTCAAAGTTCACAGCTGACATTTTTAAGTGACCTTTTTTTCAATTTGAACCACCTTTTTTTTTACTTCCCAAAACAAACCCAACCTTTTAATTAGAGTTCCCAGTTTTTTCATCTTGGTCACCTGGGGACTCATAAATAGAGCTTAATGGTTTTTCATGCCTCAGCTGAAAAGCTTTTTCCCACTCTATGCTGTCTAACATACAATATGAAAAAAATACACACATAATGTGCCACTAATACATAGTTTTGCCGAATCTATATATAACGATGCTTAACCTTAACATATAGCAGACACCTTCAAATGAATTTTTCTTGAAATATAAAAATAAATATGTGTACTCGATAGATTCGTGTGGATATATGCTCTCGCCTGATTTTGCATCTGAAATCCGTATCTATATCTATAGCCTATGGCCAGCTAGGGTCTGATCGGCTCTGCTACCCAAAACGCCATCGACCCACGCAAATGAACTTGAAAATTAATTGTTTCTGCAATACCCACAATTGCAGAACATGAGGGGTGTACCGACTAGATATATAGGATTTATGTATAACAAGATATGTGTACATTTGCTCAATGCCACAAGGGGTTTGCCTTCCATAATTTATTTCGCTTTCGGATACTACATACATGTGGCTGAAAAACAGATTTTGTTTATAATTTCATTAAAATTGAATGCCAGACAAATTTTTCTGCGGACTGGAAAATTGAAATTTTTTAAAAAAATCTACCATTTATTTGGCATACGCTCTTTGCCCCATATATTTTTATATAAATAAATTAGTGTCTATTTCCTTTCATCTTTTTAATCCCCAAGGACACAAGGGTCAATGCAGTTAAGTCGAATTTAGATCTATTTATATGGAAATTGCACAGAACTAACCTTGAATGCTGTCGCAAATTTTTCTGGTGATGGATTGATGATGGCCAGACAAACTGGCAAAATGGAAAATGAATGAAATTTTGGTCATTTCTTTAGGCTTCTATACAAACCAATGCTGGTGACATTTTGGCTAAAAGTTTTTGGTTTTAAAAATATAATAATGTAAAACCATTTACAGTCAGTTTGATGATCTGTCCTCCCCTTTTTGAGGGCAGAAGTCACTCGTTTATCAATAGCCCGTTGACGTCACACTGATATACAACTTGTACATCCTGTTTATTATTTTTGACTTTAAGTGTATACAAATGAATACATCCACGCGAAATGCCATTTATTCTGGTTTGCATTCCATTCATGAAAAAAGGAGGGGAATCGCGAGCGATCATTTAACAGCCCCAAAGAAATATGTAATAAAAAGAATAGTATATACAATTATAGCAACTATATGAATAAAGATTACTCAAGTCTATTTGGCCCACAGATGACAGCACAAATGTGGACAATGTTTTGATATGTTTGGCACAAGTGTTTCACTATATTATTATTATTTTTTTATGGGGGTCTGCCTCGAAAGAGCACAAATGTTAGAAGGTCGAAACCGAAAGTTTCGTTTATTTTTTAGACTGTTTTTTTGCTGTCCAATTTTTTAGCTTGTTCTGATGTCTTGTACTTTGGCTGTTTTTCAAGATTTCTTTCTTTTTCGATTTTCTGTAGTTTATACATCACTTTGTGATATAAATATTATTTAGCAGTTCTTTTTTGGTGCCACATATATATCACAAAGATTTGTCTAAACATTAATCTATGTATAAAAAAAGCCAGAAAATAGTCAAAATACAGGAAAAAACAAAACATTAAATCTAGTGAAAGCAATATATATTGGGAAAAATTGACGTCAAGGGATGTAGTTCTTCCCTTTTTGTTTATAAAAATTTTATATTTTAAAAACAATTTACCAAGCAAAACAAGTGGTTAGATTTTTATTGTTGGATTTTATTAATATTAAGTTTGAAAAATGTCTTCTTTTAAAGACTTTCTCCTTTACTAAAACTTCCTCCACAATTTAACAATAATTTACCAAAGAAAGCATAGTTTGATATTCTATTTATATAAAGTTGTATACCTATTTAAAAAAAATTACCAAGGAAAACAAATTGTTATATATTATTAATGTTTAAGTTCTGAAACATATATATTTTTGAAAACATTTTCGTCTTCTAATAATCCTCTCTACAACGCAAATAAATCCTACTTAACTGTAAGTAAACCACAACCATTTCCATGTGTTTTTGACTTCAAAACAAAGAACCATGAGCAGCAAATACAAATAAATTGCCCTGATATGCATAAATTTATGATTTCAATCCTGATTCGCCATCGGGGGATTTATGGCGAAGGGATAATGGGCCCTGTTCAAATCGCATGAAATGACTTGTGACACAACAAATGGCAATAAGCCATAAACAAGGCGCTATGTGAATTGGTTGCAGAGGGCACAAATGAGGGCTTGTACCAATTGGCACCTGCAACCTGATTTCTGTGCATCCTGCAGCCTTCCTGTAATTTGCCGCAATTGTTAGTTGGTTAGTTTTGGCGTCTCAGGCTCTCGGAATTTCCCAAAGGAGTGCAGCCAAGTGCACGACTCAATTTCCAGTTGGCAAATTGGCTTAGTTGCCAATTGAGACGAACATATGCGGATTGCATTCAAAAGGGGGAAACATATGCCATCAAATCCCATTCATTTGCGCCGTGCCGCCAGACACAGATACAGATACATTCAGATACATTTCAGATACCTCAATCTCAAGGTGTCGGAGTGCAATTTATTCTTAGAAGCCATGGAGCAGGTGCATTTCTTTGAATGCGAATGCGAATGCAATCAATTAGCCCAGATTCAAGGGGAGCGAATAAATAGCAATTGTCCTTGCCTCTAAATTGTGAGCACAACTCAATTGACCTGGCTAAATTAACAGATCTAGGGCCGGCGGCAATTAGCTTCGTCTGGCCCAAGGATAATGAACTGGGCAGTGCAGAAAAACACAAGTTCCTCAAGCTCAAATGTCAGCTATGTATTATAAATGATTTAATGAGTTTTATATGTACTTCCCCGTCTGGTATGTAATGTAATTACAGCAACTATTGAAAGTACTTTATGGCTTTTCCTTTGCCGCTGAAGGGCACTTTATTGTGGTTTTATTGTGGTTAAGTTGGTGGGATAAATGGAAAAGGAATTGGGTTGTTAAAGACTTAGGATGCTAGTTGATGATTATAAATGCCGATAAGAGCTAATTAAAAGAGCAATTAAATATTCAATATTATTGGTATATATAGATTAGTTTGGTCCTATTTTTTTATTTGTTTTAAGAATCAATAATTTTCAATTATATTTCTGACTTTCATCTGCAAATGATTCCCAATTAATGCCACAAACGTGCCGCCATTTCGAGACTTCCCATAGACCTTGGCATCTTGTTGGTTTAAACCAGCAAAGTGCGTTGAAAGCCATGGCGAGACATTTGCCTCCGTGGATGAATAGACCAATGGATCCGTTGACACGCTGAATCAACAGAATGATTCGAAAATAATATGCTCCTGACTGGAGTGAAGGCGCCGACAGTCTGGTCCATAGAAACCAAACCAGGCATTCATTTATTTTGAGTGATTTCACGCTTCAAGTGGACCCACGGAAATTGGCACAGTTTTTCAGGCAGACCGAAGCCAGCTGGGCGTATGTGTAATGCAGACTCACATCGGGGGAAATCCATAAATTGTGTTAAAAAGTATGCCAAGCCATAAAGAAAGCCATTAAAAAATTGCGAAAAGAAACAAAGAATTCTTGTAGGAAATGTATGTCAAGGATTTTATATTTCAATATTTCGAAAAAGCCCATTTTGATTGATTTCATTTAAACTCACTTCCTGTATATTTCCAGATATACACTTAATTAAGTCAGTGAGCCAATTGAATGTCAATCAATTCATTCCGGTTTCCATTAACAGGTCCAACCATCAATGTCAGCCGAGTGAAGCTAAGGAAGTGACCCCCACCCAGCGCCAAGATGTACGGACTGCTCTTGGAGAACTCTCCGAGTACATTAAGTCTGTCTATGGCGAGGAGAAATGGGAGGACATCCGACGTCAGGCTGGCATCGATTCGCCATCGTTCAGCGTCCATCAGGTCTATCCCGAGAATCTGCTCCAGAAGTTGGCCAAAAAGGCGCAACAGGTGGGTGCTACTCTCATTTAATCTATAAATATAAAGCTACCCACTGGAAACAATACTTAACTCACAACGAAATCACTTAAATGAGACTTGTTTGTTTTTAGGACATTTGATACTATTTTTTCTTTGTTCTGAAACAGGTCCTGGGCGTTTCGGAGCGGGAGTTCATGGACCAGATGGGCGTCTACTTCGTGGGCTTCGTGGGTCAGTATGGCTACGATCGCGTCCTTTCCGTGCTGGGTCGCCACATGCGCGATTCCTCAATGGTCTGGACAACCTGCATGAGTACCTGAAGTTCTCGTATCCCGGATGAGAGCCCCCAGCTTTATCTGCGAGAATGAGACGAAGCAGGGTCTGACCCTGCACTACGCTCCAAGCGTCGTGGGTTTGTCTACTATACAATGGGTCAAATCCGGGAGGTGGCGCGGTATTTTTACCACAAGGAGATGCACATCGAGCTGGTTAGGGAGGAGATCCTGTTCGACACGGTCCACGTCACCTTCCAACTGACCTTCGATAATAGGGCCTTTACCCTGGCATCATTGGCATGACGGGAGGAGAAGCACCTGCCCATCAGCGCCCATGTACTCTTCGAGATCTTTCCCTTCTGCATGGTATTTGGGTAAGTATTATTATTAGTAACTAACTTTTAAATAAAATCATTTATTTCAATAAATTTATCAAATCTAGTGCTGACATGGTAGTGCGCAGTATTGGAAACTCTTTAATGGTGATTTTACCCGAACTGTTGGGCAAAAAAATCACGGCCTGGTTCGACTTGGTTCGTCCACTGATTGCATTCAAATTTCAGACTGTAAGATTAAACCTTTAATTGTAACATTTCTTAACCTTTATAAATATATTAGATACTCAATCGTACTAATAACATTTTTGAGCTGGTCACTGTGGACCCAGTAACGGAGAGATTTGACGTTCAAAATGAGGATTTACTCACACATGAAGATGGCAGTGAACCGGAGAAGTCTTTAAGATTAAAAGGTACACGAAAAGTTTTTAAAACGATATCGTATAGTAAATACTATCTAATTTTTGAAAATATCTTATAATTTGATTTCTTAAAACAAAATACATTCTACGCTGTCGTTCCTAAAGGTATAAATTTGGTCAATTAAATTTATTATTTATCGGAAGGTCAATTTTATAACGTCCCAATACTAATAAGTACTTACAATCTTTTTTTCTGCAGGTCAAATGGTTTATATGGAAAACTGGCGCATGATCATGTTTCTGGGTACCCCGTAATGCCCGATCTGACCTCCCTGATAACCACTGGCCTATATATCAACGATTGTCCATGCACGACTTTAGCAGAGATCTCATGCTGGCGGGTACTCAACAATCAGTGGAACTTAAGTTGGCCTAGACAAGAACAGCAAAAGTCCAAGAAACTGGAAGAGTCATGAGATTGGTAAGAATAATAGAAAAGTATTATACGATAATAATAAAGATTTGGTATATCTATAACTCTTAGTTGGATGAGGAATGAGAAGAACAGATGAGCTGCTCTATCAGATGATACCCAAACAGGTGGCTGATCGACTCAGAAGGGGTGAAAACCCCATTGACACTTGTGAGGTAATAGGATATTATAAATATGAACCAAAAATATAATATATCGTTAATTTATTTTCCTGCAGATGTTTGATAGTGTCTCCATCCTGTTTTCGGACATTGTCACCTTCACGGAGATCTGCAGCAGAATTACTCCATGGAGGTGGTGTCCATGCTAAATGCCATGTACTCCATCTTCGACAAGTGACAGAAAGGAACTCGGTTTACAAGGTGGGATTATTAATTTAACATATCCTAGAAGATTATTATAAACTATACATATATTGAAATGCCCTAGGTGGAAACCATTGGAGACGCTTACATGGTGGTGGCGGGGGCCCCAGATAAGGATGCCAATCACGCCGAGCGAGTCTGTGATATGGCCCTGGATATGGTGGACGCGATAACCGATCTTAAAGATCCCTCCACGGGCCAGCATTTGAGGATACGTAGTTTATAGATATTTAAGTGGTTCCTTACTATACCTAGATCCCCTCCAGGTGTGGGTGTCCACTCGGGCGCCGTGGTTGCAGGCATTGTGGGGTTAAAGATGCCCCGCTATTGCCTCTTTGGGGATACCGTGAACACCGCCTCACGAATGGAGTCCACAAGCATAGCCATGAAGGTGCACATCTCAGAGTCCACAAAGATTCTCATTGGTCCCAACTACAAGATCCTCGAGCGTGGCGAGATCGATGTGAAGGGCAAGGGCACCATGGGCACATATTGGCTGGAGGAGCGCGAGAACAGGTTGCCTTTGCAGGTGACAGCGGCTCTGCAGGCTTATCCGATCTCTCCGGTTCCGGCAACGCCCGCTCCCAAGGCCATAATGCCACCGGGATCCAAGCCGGTGACTCCATTGGCCACCGTTTCCGTTTCACTGGGGTTTCCAGTCCTGCCGCAACTGTTCCTCAGTGGATGTGATAGCTCCTTCATCCAGCATATCCGGTTTGGCGATTACAGCCACTGCAGCAGCTCACATGTCACTTCATCACCAGGCGGTGTGGCCGAGGGATTAACTGGAGTCACAGGTGCAGGGGATCGACGGCAGATGTGGGACCTTCTATTTCCGGAGGAGCAGCAGGAGCAGCCGCGGGAGCAGGAGCAGCTCCAGATGATCGCAACAGTCGCATCTACTCACCCGTAACCTTCAAGGACGTGGCTCGCCGCAGCGTGGCCAACTCTCCAGTGAGGGGCAATGCAGGTACTCCAATTCGGATCAGGAGAAACGTCGCGAATCCCGTTCCAATCCACTGGCCACGTCTTTATGCGTACTCCATCCGATATATTTTGGCTCTCTCATCCTGGACACCGAGGAGTTTCTCGAGGATCTGCAAATCTCACGTAACTCTCTGTCGAATAACAACAACAACCCGCCCACTGGTGGATTCAGTCCATCTCCACCATTCCGGATCGGCAGTGCACCACCAAAACCGAGACCCAGCAATCCGGATAAGTTTACGCCGGAGGAACTGGCCGCATGGATCAGCTGACGCCACCGTCGACAGCTCCTGCCAGGGAAACGGCCACGTGCAGTAGTGCATCCTTGGATCGGGAAAAGGCCACAAAGCTAAGTAAGTTAAGAGGGGATGGGTTCAGGAACAGTCAGCATACTCCACTTTCATTAGAAAATCACCTTCTCCAACAGCAGCAGCCTGGATGCAACTACTCCAACTGCCGTTGCTGCCAAGGTGTGTCCCATGCGTTCCAAGTCGCCACCAATGATGAACCAACCAGCGGTCCAGGTGGTGCAGGCAAGTACCAGCAAGAGTGACACCCAACGACCGGGCTCCAAGGATTCGGTTTCATCCATTTCCCTGCACTCACCTCCTCCACATCGATCAACTCGGCGCCAGCTAGGTGAGCTCCATATATAAAAGGAAAATCCCTTTAAATCAAACTTAACTTAATTTTCCAGACCCCATTCAATGTCTAAGGCGGCGCGAAAGGCCTTCCTGGCCGCCAAGCAGACCAAGGCCATGGAAAAGCTGGACAAGATGATCGAGGAAGTTCATGAAGTGGAGTCCCAGTCGGCCACAAAGGCGGCCAATATGAGGCTGGCCCTCTTTGGTCATGATGGAGGTGGTGGTGGCGACATGGCCGCCGGTGGGTGTCCACTTTTCCTGCCACCACCGCCACAGCAGCACAGCGCCTGATGCCCATGCCGAGCTCCATATCCGACTCCGGCCTCTGTAGTCATGGGTGAGAATACATAATTTACTAAATCAATTTTCGCTTCATTATTAATACCATTAACTGCAGCCATAGCCATGTCCCCAGCTGCCATCACCTGGAGCCGAAGATGAGCAACAGCCAGAGTTTCCAGCACTCTCCACGAGGCGGGATTACCCATCAGTGCTGCAGTGGCTTTGGACACGGAAACGGACGTCACTCGCACCGGATGCACTCAAATGCCTGCCGGATTCTGTAGAGGATCCACCAGGCAGCACCGTCACATCAACCATATCATGTAAACCGACTCTGATTCTGCTCAATGTTACCGCGTGCTTTTCGGTGTAGCTATGATAACTAGTCAGCAATTATTAGGACTTAGTTAGTTGTTGAATCTCATAGTGTATAGAATAGAATAGATCAAGAATGTACCTATATGTTATATATACCAGACTATAGCTAGTCAAGCAGGGCTTTAAAATTTTGGCAAGTCAGTGTCTAAATATGCTAAGAATCTGTATAAACTGTTGGCACTCTATACTATATACTTGTGTGCTTTAATCAAAAGATTTCAAATTTCTTGACCTCTAAATATGACAATACCAACAGGAAATCCAACTACAAAAGGAAAGACATTTTCCGTACATTTTCATGAAACCACCTGAGGCAGAGTTTGCTCACAAAATAAACTATACCTATATGTATATGTATTATTAAATCTCTATATATTTGTAGTAGTTAAATGGTTAAGTAGATTTTATGTGAACACGAATACTAAATAAATATTTCGAAAAGAAATCAGAGTTACATATTTTCTAAATGTTTTAACTAGAGGTCCAACTAACTCTTTGATTGCGATCCGTTAACGCAAATAAACTAACTAATCAATAAAAGTGCTACTTCCTAGTTAAATTGAAATTGTGAACAGCTTAGTTTAAAATACATTTATTTTTGCTTTTCAGATAATGGTACATCCATTAAAATTAAGAGATCTTAGGTTGACATTTTCAAAACTATAAATCAGCAAGATTTATACCTTTCTTGATTTATTTTAAAAATAAATGCATTCACTTTGTTTCTTCTTTTAACTAAGTGCAGATAGGACTGTGAGAAATGAGACATAAACATAGATATAAAATAATTGCAAAGTAAACTGGCAAAATGGTGTAAACACAATGAACTTAGATTAAAATATTGTGCTACTTATTATATTTTCGAATTTTAATCTTTCTAATAATTTTAATTTTTGGTTATATTCAACTCGTTACATTGCACTTTTGGCATATCACATCTGAACTTATAATGGCAAGCATACAACTGAAACAAAAATTGTACGAAATGATACAAGTTAATGTACCCAAATATATGTATATATACACTTAAAGCGTGGGAGTTTGTCTTTCGGATTGACTAGACTTGATTGGGCTTTCGAAGGAATATATCCTTTTTGCTTTCGGTGGGTTTTCCATTAGGCTCTCTCGACCATTGGCGTCTGAACGACATCCTCGTTGGAATATATGACCGTACCATCCAGCGTCTCAATGGTTTGGATGGTGGTCTTGCAGTAGAAGCACACCTTGGAGTTCATCATGTGCTGCATGATGCAGTCGCTGCAGGACTGGTGCTTGCAGGGCGTGAACACGGCAGTGATGGGCTTGGCGCAGCAAATCGGACACAGTGAGTCCTCCGATGGCAGTGTGATGTCCGAAAGCAATGTCTGCTTTACGCGCAAACTCTCGATTAGGCTGCGAACGTTGTCGATCTCCTCAGTGGACACGTGAGAGGGAACTGCAAATGGATAAAAGAGTTCATACCTCCAATAAATACTACAAATGATCTATACAATATACTCACAGTCATTAAGAGCAAACTTCAGGATTGGCGGATCGGCCCGAATACGCTTGGAATTGTTAGGCAAAGGAACACGCACATCATTGGTCAGCGGATCAATGTGTGGCCTAGAAGAGGGATCGAAGTTGCCCCGGGGTATATTCTTCTGCTCCAACAGCGGTGTTCGTATTTCTCCCAAAGCGAACTCCAGCGTGGCGAACTGAAAGCTCGGATCCGTAAGAAAAGCCCGGGAAACCCGAGTTACAATCTGTGGCCTCATGTCGCTCTCCATCTCCTCCTGCATCAAGGCTAGTAGGATGCCCAGGGCAGCGGTCACGATGGGATAGTGGGTAACTGCATTCAAGTCTGCCGAGCACATGTCCACCACGAACTGGAAGCATCCCGGCGGCACTGTCACCCGGGAGAGAACCTGGCTGATCAGCTGGCAGATGCGATTCAGCAGGAGATCGCTGTTCGGACGAGATTCATCCGTAACGACCTCGGGGGCTGCTGTGATGACCATTTCGAGGCACCGCATCAGCGAGACCGTCAGCTCAAAGCACATGGAGCAAATCTTCAGCTGCTTGGGCTCAAACAGGGTGTTTTCCTGCCTCTGAGCGGTGTTTTGGATCTGAAAATAAAAAGGAGAAATTTTAGTTTATATGATAGCTTAAACCAAAGGACTGACCTCTTGCAGTAGCAAAATAAATTCCGAGAAGGCCCAGTTTAATTGACTTAACACTGAGTTCAGAAAGGCGGTGGCAAAGGGCTCATCCTCCAACAACTTGGCGCCGATCACGTTGAAAATGCTTCGAGGGATTGGCCGGGGCCACGTTGTGTAGCAATCCTGTGTGCGTCTCGTTTCTAGAGCGACTGCGACAGAGGCCCTGATGAAGAGGTAGCGAACCACCCTGCCACACGGATGGCTGGCGGGAATCTTTATAGGCATAGCCCTCGCCCATCCAAAAGCGCAAAAGCAGCCAGTTGCTCTGGCCCCAAGCTCTGTTCTCATAGGGACGCAGAAGTGCTCGAACCAGACTCGCCTGTGCTCTCTTCGATGTTCGTTCCAGGGCTCGAACTCCTGACTTGTGACAGGTAAGGGTGCCCAAAGCCTGCAGCAGTGAGTCCTTGCAGGAAGCGAGCACAATACGCGGATCGGCTGAATGAATGCCCAGAAACTCTGCAGCCGCGTTAACACCACATTCCGCATCTGAGGCCTCGAACTGGGCTTTCAAATCATGATGACTAAAGTCCATAACGGCATCCAAAGAATCGGCAGTGTATTTACATACACCTCAGGTACAAAGGAGAACAAAGGACCCGTGTTTGAAGCACTCTGTCATGAGATACATAATATGAACAATAGTAAGGCATATATGTAGATAGATTTGCCTACCGTCAGAGTTCGTAGCATGCGCTCCAATAACCATATGAGCAGGGATCTCCTGTGACCATTGAGGGCCACTCCTCTTAGCCAGATTTGCTTTCTAGCTAAGGCTATCGAGCGTGTCTGCAAATAGAATAAAACATTTTTAATTTTAAATAAAAAAATATATTGAAAAGTCATTAACTCACTGCAAAAACATTCTGGCGCTGACTGAACTTGGATCGTACTCGCTCATCACATGCTGGTGATTCTCGTTCATGCACACATTGGCATGCTGTTCCAAGGCGCCCAGCTTACGTTCAATGTCCTCACGGTAGAACTTCGTCTCCTTGAGCACTTCATTCAAAGCTGCTATCTCATCCCTCACGTGGCAATCTTCACAATATACTTGTGACCCGCGAGTAATAAAAGATGATGCAGAGATCAAGGAGCTCGCAGAGACTGGCCTCCATATCCGCATTTCCCGGAGAGGAATCTGTGGCGCCGCTGTGCCGGGGGTTAAGAAGTGGGTGTAGGTGGTGTTGCTGGCGCCTTGAGTGTGTCCGACTACCGCCACATTGTTTATGTTCTCGCCGAGCAGGTAAAGAGTGGTATCTGTAATTGAATTATAAATAAATATTTACAAATTCATTCCGGTCACTTAAACAACCAAAAGTATATACATACCAACTTCATTGACTCGCAAGTTTTGCCGATCATCATCATATATTTTGAGTTCGCGCCGCTCCTAATCTGCTATCGATGTCGCCCCGATGGACCTTCCTCAAATGGGACAGGACACCTCCAACGCGATCAAAGTGCATGTAGTCAAAGCTACCATCGATGAAGTAATCGCTGTTCACTTCCACATTCTTGCTGGGTATTTCCTCCTTAAACATGCACGCGTCTGATCAATTAGGATGCTGACAAAGGCAAGGGCAACAGGAGCATCCAGGGGATGCTGGATGCTCGACTGCATGAAGAAGAAAGCATGGAAGGGCTGCAAGAAGATATATTGACTATAAATTCCTACAAAATCATCAGTGGCAACACTTACCCTCTGCTCCATGCTGAGATCGATTACATAGCGACGCATTTTGGACAAGAATATTGAGCGGCTTGAAGGACTCTCCCGCGTGCCATCCGTGTTGATCAACAATGTGGTGAGAAAGTCCTTTTGCGCCGCATACAGTGGCTCCGTAACCTTGCGCACCTTCTCCACAACATTCAGATATTTATCCTTGGGTCCATCGATTCCCTCTGTCCAGGCCATGGTGTCGGGCAGCAGCTCTTCCATAATGTAAACTCCAGCGGATGGATATAGAGAAAAAAGGCGAGACTAACGGTGTTAGTTAAAATCATCAACCGGTGAATCCCTAATCTTACCAGTGCTTCTTGAATAGCTTTCCCTCCAGCATACTTTCTGGTCTGCTCGTGGAGACATAGGCAATGTAACATGCTCAGCGTCTGCCGATGCTTCTCATAGTCCAGTCCTTGGATGTATGCGTAAAGGTACCTAGCAAGGCGTTGACCAACTTCGCACACAAACTTGATCTCATCGCCCTCCATGTAGTTCCAGAATAGCGACAGCAAGCCCTGCAAACGCTGTGTCGGTTCTCCTTCTCCGCAGCCAGAGAGGTCAGGCATGAGATTCTGTTTAGCAGCACATCTTCGATGATGTAGGGATCAAATATCTCGTTGGTAAACTTTTCAATCAGCAAGGTGGCAAATATGCAGTAAACCGTCTTCTTGGTTGAAACGCGCGCCTCAGTTTCATTGCCGAATTCGTCCCAGATTGGGCATTGTACTTGGAGAAGATCCAGCCAGGTTGATCAGGTAGTTCATTAGCAGGTTGGCTCGCCTTAGCTTAAGGATAGGCCTGGCCATGAGCGGTTGGAAGCCTAGAACTGGATACATGAAGGACGATTCCCGAAGTTCGCCTCGATGCCCTGCGTGTAGCCCAGGGAGATGCTGCGAAGAAGTAATGCCGGGACCCTTCTCAGCTTATTGAACGCCACGCCCATTGAGCGTCCATTTCGTAATACTCGATCACTTCCTTCTCCACATCGATGGTCACGCCAATAACGTCGCCGATCTGCCATTTGTCGCCGTACCTAAAGTGATCATTTGTATTAATTTATTTAAAGTTATTAATGAAAAGCTTACTTCTTGTAGATATATGCCAGATCTGCTGCTTGCTGCCATCGTAACCATAGCTGGATTTGGTATCCCCCACGCCGCTGTTTTCGTTGAACTGACAGGAGTTAGAGGCCCACCCAATTTGCATGACGCCCTTGGTGTGCAGGTGAATCTGAAAAAGTTGACGGGTTGTTAGTACGCACGAGCAACCCACACTCCCCAAAACGCGAGTCATTGACCGCTGGTCAACCACCGCCAAATCTACCACTCATTCCCCAATCTATACCCACTCCCACTCCCTCTCAAGGCGATTACCTCATACATCCAGCGACCTCCGTACACGCAACAATTCGCCCGGACCGTATTGAAGCTGCCCTGGGAGCGCAAGGCCAGGCGATCCGAGGACACGCGCACCGTGGTCGTGTAGTCCACATCGAATATGGTCAGATCCGGGCCGATACGGCTCTCCGTCTCCATGTAGAGGCGCCGGATCTCCTCATTGCTATCCGTCTGGATTTGCTGGAACTTGTCATCTAGCCACGTTCGCACAATAATCATTTGCCTGGGGAAAGGACTCGTTTTT